AGAGCAGAGTACAGGGGGAGGTTCGATGTGACACGGAGAGAAGAGTGATGCTCTGAGCAGCACTCGCTTCACCCAGCAGCTCTTCCCACTGAGCAGACCCTGCTGAGATTCTGCACAGCCGGTGGGAGCTGCTCTTCACCCCCCTGTTCACAGCAAAATCCCTTCTCACCCAGTGCCCTGGTCCTGTACAACGGGCCTTCAAGCCAAGATTCATGATGGACATCGTGCGACTGGAAGATCAATCTTAAATGTGGCAGCAATTTACTGCTAATGCTTCCCTCAAGCCAAGGTTTATTGCTTACAGCCGCTCCGCCGCTCCTCTCCTCCCAGAGCAAGGCAGCAACCCCCTCTGGGGTGTCAGCAGTGGTCTCTGAGCCCAAATTCTCACTGCAGACCGTCCCTCCTTCGCTACAGCACAGGGTGGAAGCAGGAACCAGTTTCCCTGTACGTAAAAGGCCCAAAAGGGGCTGCACCAGAGCAGGCGTCGTGTTGCACGAGCAGCGGTGTGCCAACGGGCCGCATCCACATGGAGCGTTGGCTGTAGCCGATGTGCTGGGCAGACACCCAGCTCCCAGGAAGGGGCGTGTAGCTCGTGAACACGAGTGGGGTTTGCAGGGCCAGAACAAGCGGGTTTAAGGCCCTGCGGTACTGCACGCGCACACGACGCGCCGCCGTGGGATACTGCGCAAGCTGGGACAAGCACATCGGGCTGCGCAGCACAGGGGTGGAGGTTTGGATGGCTTCAAGGCATCTGACCCGGGGCGTCCGTAACCGAACCAAAATCACCTTCTCAGTCCCAGGGAGGGTAATGAAACACCCAAGGTATCCGCAACTCTTACGCAAGCACGCCGCTTCCGCCAGTGAAGTGAAACCCGTGAGGAACAAAGCAGCAAAGCCTGCAGATTAATTTTTGAAGCTAATCAATATTAGTCAGCAGTACAAGATGTTTTAGAGAAAGTCCACAAATAGCGTCGGCCAAAGAGCTAATGAAAAGCTGAAATTACCATTTTGGAAAATGCTCTCCATCTCCCAAAGAGCTCATCTAACAAAGGGAACGAGCAGCACAGCGGCAGACTGAATGGGATGTTGACAAATGCACAATACGGCCCGTCAGCGGGACCGCTAAACAATCCGAGGTGTTTTATGGGCTCCGGGTCGATGGAAACCATTGAAGGAAAGACAGTCTCAAGGAAAGGGGCCGCCGCGCTCACCGATGGCTGGAGGAGGCAGCAGGGCGTTAGCGGGGGAAGCAACAGAACGGGAAATACCACTCGGTTGTATGTATCAGCGTGACGGGAGCTGGATAACCGCATCCTGGGCCATGTGCACGCTAGTTCGACCAGCAGAACAGAGAATTCGGTTCAAAGACAGATGATGTGTGAATAGAGATGCAGCACAAGATAAAAAAAGAACATCAACAAAAGGCACTGCGGATGCCTGTACAAGCCCTGTCCTCTCCTACGCAGGAACGCTCAGATAAAAACCAAAAAACCCAAAAGGCAACAATTTCAACACTGATTAAGCAAGATTGCATTATTGTGTTAACCCACGGCAGGCACAGCCAAGCCCGTCCGCAGAGCTAGCTCGGGAGCATTCCCACCGCACGGCCACAGCAGAGCGCTGCGTGGTAGACACACGTGGGGGGGGACACCTTGCACTAGACCAGGTTGCTCCAAGCCTCATCCAACCTGGCCTTGGACACTTCCAGGGATGGGGCATCCACAACATCTCTGGGCAACCTGTCCCAGTGCCTCCCCACCCTCTCTGGGAAGAATTTCTTCCTGATATCTAATCTAACCCTCCCCACTTTCAATTTAAACCTGTTCCCCCTTGTCCTGTCACTACAGGCCCTTGTAAAAAGGCCCCCCCAGCTTCCTTGTAGCCCCTTCAGGCACTGGAAGGGGCTATAAGGTCTCCCCGGAGCCTTCTCTTCTCCAGGCTGAACAAGCCCAACTCTCTCAGCCTGTCCCCATGGCAGAGGGGCTCCAGCCCTCGGAGCATCTCCGTGGCCTCCTCTGGACTCATTTCCATATGTGTCGTACCTGTAACTTCTTCGTACTCCCCCATCCAGAGAAGCAGAGTGCTGCTTGGAGTGAAAGATGGAGCATCTTTGGGAAAGCTGCCAGCTGATGGCCAGACACTTCACCAGGGACGTGAAATACCTGGGATAACAGCTTTCACGGTTTCAAGCGAAACGTGCTGTAAAACTGCCCGACGGCGGGAGTTAGGAGTTCCTGACACCCGAGCACGAGGGGTTATGATTCACCCAGTGTCACGCAGCAAATGGGCCATAAAACCCACCCGTTTGTTAAAAGCCCGTGTCAGGCTCGGGAAGGCATTAGCGCCCCGCTGAAAGGCTGGATGGTACGTCCCCTGCAACTGTCACACAGCTCTGCATTATCAGATCACTACACGTTTCTAAAGGCTACGTGAGCGTATCTAATGAAATATGCAAGCTGCAAGTATTAGTAGAGCATGGAGTTGTAAAAAAAAGAGCTATATTCCTGTCAAAATATTTATCTTCAAACACATGCTTAATCCTTTACATTTTTAAGGACCTTACTTCTACTAAAAGGAGCCATTTAGGTTTCTTCCGTATTTTGAGATGGCTCAGTGCAGAAAACAGTGTACACCAAGTTCGCATGAACCGTGTGAATTTGAAGAAAAAAAAGCATTGTAAACCTTGTAAACCCCCCGAGATCTCCAACAAACTGCTCCTGGCTTCATTTACCCACAGCAGCGGCGTACCTGACTCCTCCAGAAATACGGCTGTCCAACTGCTCTACCAAGGGGACCCATGTTAAAAACCAGCTTTTCAACCTCAGCTCCCCACCGAACGTTCCTCACTGCACCGTCGGTAAATGAGGGTGAAGAGGGTGTCCGCTGGGTGCCACGTGCAAAGGGAGATCTGCATGACAAAGACTGACTTCCACAGTCACCCGGGTTTATTTGGAACCTGTGTTTTGGATCTACATTCAGAGGACTGAAAAGCAAGCGGCGGCTGTTCGAAACCAAGTTTAGCTCACGATCTCAGACTCAACGTGCCTGCATTTCAGGGTCTCTCTCAAACGCAGAATGTTATTACTAACGCTGTTTCTCTGCAATCTGGGTGTGCACTGAGACCTAAGGTGCTTTTTGCATGGCCCAACCCAGTTTCTGAAGTGGCTCAGGACAGGCAAATGCATTGCATAAACCCCCAAGCTGGCCACATTTCCACCCTATAAGAATTCTTTTGAGATACCGCTGTACGTGCAGCACAAGAAGGTGCACAACAGCCTGGGACAGCGCATGGGTCACTACATGTTCAGCTCAAAATCCTCATCAACTCTGACTGGACAACGAACAAAATACTAGAGAGTGTTGACAATCTCACCCTTCAGTCTGTGGGGCATTTGAAAACTGTTAATATGAAAAACCTGCCTCAAAAATAATAATAAAGGTTGTGCAATTGTCCACATGCAATAATTACGGTGTTGCCTACACAGTCTCGTCATCGCTTCGGGAAGTGCTGCGCATACCCTGAGTGTGACAGAAGCGACGTGAATTCAGGTGCAGTCCTGTTCAGTGAGGGGAAACTGGCCTAGATACCCTGTGACATGAAGCGGTGTTGGCACACTGCTACCTTAAAAAGGTAGGTGCTTGAGTGAAGCCAAGGAGCTGCTGGTGTTACTGCTGGGCATATTTAGCTGCTCACACTGCTTAGGGTGGCAGGAGAGCAGCTTGAAAGAAAAGGCTGGAATTTTCCAGCAGCAAATCTGGAAAATCAGTTAAAAAAAACCCTAAACCCTCAAAACTAAACACATTTTCTTCTGTTCATCATGTCTGCAGTACTGAAGGATTCCTATTGCTCGTGTGCGCTAGAGGCTATGAGAATGAAATGTGACTTACGTGGTCAGCGATGGTCCGCCCCAGCTTGTCCATCCGTGACCCAGCCTCTGCAATCTTCTTGGCCGCACTAATCACGTCTGACGTATTTTTCAGTGGACCTTTACCTCTGCAAAACAGAGCGGAGTTTACCTTCCAGCACCAGAAAACAGGAAAAGCAAAGTATCCATTGCTTTACTTGCCCTGCTCCATGCAGTGCTGGGAGCGATTCCCCACCCAAACTGCAGGAAGGAGGATGCTCAGGAGTAGGCAGCTGTCACCATTACAGCACCTTCATTTTCAAGACCGTTTCCCCCTTTCCAGCCCCTCCCCGTATTTAGATTAAATCTAGGAATAAAAACATCTTAAATTTTACTGTTTTAAGCAACCTAATGATGATAAGAGATAACATTTTAGAAGACGGATTTGCCATTTTCACGGAATGCAACATCAAGTTTAACAAATAGCGTTGTATAAAATCTGGTAAGTGAATTTCAAAAGGCATCAAACCCTCTCTCCTTCTTTTGCAAATAACTGCACTAGGAACTATTCCTGCAGTACAGCAATATCAAGAAGCCCATAGAAGTTAATGTTGTAAGGAACCGAGCAAACATCTATATCTATATTCCGTGGGACAAAAATCACCCTTAAGACAGACAGGCAGTAACTGCTGCGTACCTACAGATCAATTTGAATAGTTATTACCACCCAGTCACTGCGCAGTAATGCATCTCCCGCGTTAATACTCAGGCTTTAATAGGGCAACATTTAAAGGAAATTACAAGTAGGACTCCTAACAAATACTTGCACAGTATTTCATTGAAAGCTCGGCAGCCCAGCCAGTTCTGAGGGAAGGTGGCACATGCACAAATTAAAAAGACTCACCTGGTGAAGTCTGTCATTTCCATCATAATCATACACATTTGTTTTGCCAGAACAATGATATCATTACCGCTGTCATCCCATTTGGATACTTCAGCATCCAATTTACTCTTTTCTTCCTGGAAGCTTGCGACTTGCTCAGCAATCTTAGCTTTTTGCTCTTGAGGCAGCTGAGCCATGATGGCCTGAAAGAGAGATTTTCTCACATTGCCTTCTGCCACCGCTCCTAGAAGGCTTTTTGGAACATTTCACTAATAACCACTTATAGTCACGTAGTTGGGGGATAAAACTTTAATAGCAATCCTCTACCTTGAGGCTTTACAGAACCATTTCCTTCCCTTTTGAACCAAAGTTTATGCTCTTTCTTAGGAAAGAGTACCCAGAAAGAGGAGTTGACATCTGAAACACGGGCATTTGCATGATGAACACGTTTGCCAGACATTGCCGTCCATCAACAAAAAACTGCATGAAGAGGAGGCACTTGCCTTTTCTACAGAATTTAAGGGTTCTAAAAGGAAATTCCACTTGGGTATCTTTCAGTGTTGCAATGCAGAGAAGACTGACTACCAGCCTCTTTCCTGCAAAAAGCTAGATGTGCTGTTTTGAAACACGCATACTGAGGAAAGCGTAAGTGAAAACAGAGCATGTGCTTACTGCTGAATAAAACCTAGAGACACTGTTTACAGCCCGCATGAGACTCAACGGCCTTGCCTTCATAAATACGAGGAGCATTCATGCCTCCAGGAGCAGGTGAGAGGAGCCTTCAGTACCAAAAAGGCCCTGGCAGCAGCCATGCTCCAAGGTAAATCAGAAATGTCTGCACTTAAAAAAAGGAGGGGAGGGAGAGAGGAATAGAAGAATAGGAAGGAGAGTGTAAAGAACTACCCTCAGTATAATTCCAAAGCCAAATGGCACAAGTTTGATAACTAGGGCTTAGCCACTTTTTGCCTGGTTTCAGGCTCAAAGAGCCTTCACAAAAAATCCCTGTGGCACCTACACCAGGAGTGTAATTTGTTATCAATCCTGGAGGGGATGTGACAAACAGAAACAATAGGTAAGGCCTATGTTTCCTTCAATGTACGGATTTTAAGTTTTCACCTTTTAATGGTTATATATTGCCTATCAATGCTTTCATAGTTGACAGTCGTAGGAAATGCAGGTAGTTTAAATTATTTCATCTTTGAGGGGAGCTCAAAATTGACCTGAGGAAACACTCAGTGCAAGCACACACCGACACGTGCGTGAGAAGAGGTTTTGTAAAACCTGCCTGAACCCCAGTTATCTGTTTCTTGCCACAAACTTAGTATTTGCCTGTTGAAAAGAACGTTAGCACAATGAATGGTTTGCCCTGGATGTCCCTGCAGGAGCTCACCTACTTAAACAGCAGTGCCTACGTCTGCAATGGCAAAGTGTAAACGAGTTCCTCGGTATTCAAAGGATTCTGATCTTTCAGAACATCCAAAATAAGCCACAGACGTTGCTGATGTCCATCAGACCAACACACGCTGCATTTCACTGAACTTCCTTTTCAGAAGAAAACTGGGATCAAAAAATGCCAGTTGTCTGATCCAACCGTCTCACCACCACCCTCAAAAAACATAACCTGGATTTTCAAAGCACGCTGACCTGTTTCTTGAAGGCCTGTCACCGTTTTGTAACGCTCAGGTTTCTTCCTTACCCTCGCACTTTGTCCAGCAATGAGCTGGTCATCTTCGGTCTGAATACTCGTTCTGCTTCGGACGTCAAAATCTTCCGTCTCAAAGTCAGAGTCATCCAACTCTTCAGGAGTCTGAGGGAAAAGCAATTCAGTCAGTCAAACAGCAGACTTCACGGCTTTAAAAATCAACAAGACTGTTGTTTTTCAAGCAGAGAAAATGGAAGTAAGTGAAGGTAAATATTATTTAATGTTTCCAACAAAGCTTTATCCAACTTGCACACACACGTGATTATATAACATGTGATTAGACACCATGTGGAACACCACAGGGCTGCCCAGAATTACACACTGGTACCTACATCTGAGACGCTTCAGGAGAGCAATGCACTCCGTGTTTGAAACCCGGAAACAAAGTTTTTCCAGCATGAACAGTATCTCCCGCAAGTCGGTTAACGGTAAAAGCTTCGCTCGAGATTCTGAAGCTAAAATTCCACACAGCTTTAAAGCCTGGTTCAAACCCACAGATGACATCTTTAGCACAATTATGAATCAAAGCATCAACTACATTAACAACAGATAAAATACATCGAAATTTATTCTTATCCCTCAGGAAAAGCGGAAATTTTTCAGCGAGTAAGGGCCAGCTTTTATGCTGTAGGCTAAACACATCTGACCTAGTTCCTTCTTGCCTAGGATTTATTTTTGCTACTGCCAGTCTGTAGCTGGCAAACTTTTTATGAAGCTTATCAAGTTTAAACAGCATGTTTGTCAAAATACTACATCTTTGCCTGGAGTGGCACTTCATGACTATTCTGCAGAGCTGGATCAACAAAGAACTTCACTGATAGGTGCCATAAATCGCGATTAACAGATAAGATGCAAATAAAGTCCCTGTTCTTCATCTTTCTTTCCTATGATTGGAATTTTGAAAAACTTGTTTTCCAATACAGAAGTCTTGTGATACCGTTAAAATAAAGATGGATACACAAAATGGTTGCCAAAAAGCAAAGGTGAGTATGCTGACAATCAAGGCCTAGGGCATTTCAGACTCCATCTCCTCTCCATGCCTTGAAGAACAGAGTATGTTCACAACATCAGCAAAAGGACATATACTAATAAGCAGCTCAGTGTATCAATATTTAAAAAAAAAAATTAAAAACAACAACCAAAAAAACCACCCTGTTTTGTTCTCCCTTTAGAAACTGTTTATGAGTCTCAGGCCCCCATCTCTTCCCAAAGCCCAAACCTCCTGGGGTACACCAAGTGTAATTCTGCCTCTCAATCTGTCATCAAGAGCAGAAGCTCTGTGGGGGGCGGTGTGAGATTGCCAGGGGACCAGGGAGGAAGGAGCTTCCCTTCGACGCACTACAGAAACAGTAAGATTTTAGTTTTGAAAACACACTGCATAAATACAATAAATAAGGTGTTTGAGTGATTTTTCCTCCTGGTTCCTGTAAAGAACAAGCCCCAGCAGACAAAGTTTCACGTGAAACAGCTTGCTTGCCCCAGCTAAGCTTGGCAGCATCCCCCTGCGAGCATGGTTCCTCCTGTGGTCCAGTCTGAGACAATGCCCTGGAGAAGCGGTGGCCTGGCATCTCCATTTGGATGACTCTCTTATCCTAAATACATTTGAGACCTCAGAGCCCTTTGGACAACAACTACTAACATTTTAGCTTCTTTATAGGTCACTGATGTGTCACCAGTGAGCTGCCGTTAGCTACTGGCAGCTGCAATAAAGCCGTGGCACCCTGACATCAGAGACGTGGCACAAGGGGAAACGTCAGGATTCCTGGCATCACCAGCTCGGCTAATTACTGACGACGTGGAATTGGCAGTCATGCTTTCATGTCCTGAATAACAAGGACTTCAGCGGGGGGTGAATCAAATTAGTTTGTCTGCATAGCAGGAAAGCACTGATAACTTCATCCAACGCTGGCTGTCTAAATCCTGAGCTGAAGTTCGAAAAACAGAGAGCACATATGTGGTTGTCAGCTTTTCTTCTGATTTTCCATCTGATTCTTTGCTTTAAGCAGCAAACACGGAAGACACTAGTGCAATGGTTACTATAATCACATCTATTCTGGGGCTGTACATCCTCAACTTGCTTATCACCAACATACATCTGCCATGGTTAACATTCTGCAAGATGAAGACAGTTTCTCTGCGAGGCATTTATGTTTGAGTCAGAGGGGTAGAATGGAAAAAGGAAAACGAGCCCTAGATTTGTGTTCTTGTGTCTGGTTCCTGCCTGTTTTTGTCACGCTGCAACATGCCCAGAGGTCAGCCTCAACCAGAATCTGCTGTTCTGCACCCTTTCAATCAGCTGCAGGAGCCCTTCTGCATCTTCCCCGCACGCCTTCTACCACTCTAATGCTGCCTGACCTACCAGAAATCAGGACTTCCCAGCTCATCTGGAAAAAGCAAGCACAGGATAGACAAAGCCCTATGAACTCGTCCCTGTTTATTGGGGTTAGCCAATTAACGAATTACATGCTCTAGGAACTAGACAACTCATCTAAACCTGTTTTGACTAACTAGCATTAATTCTCAAAAATAAAGAGCCATCAGGTTTTATTTCTAAGCTCTCAACCACCAAAAAGCCTCTGCAGCTAGGAATCCACTTGCTGCTGTTAAACCAAAGGTCGCTGACGTTAGCACGCTAACAAGGCATTAATATGGCACTGAAGGGTATTTAGCATCACAGCTCGGGCTATCATCGATGCTCAGATCTGCTTAATGAACTTGAATCCAAACGTACTTCTGAAGTGCTCCATGGCGGAGTGATTAGCAGCTTGTAAGGCTCCGAATGCGGAGATGAGCTCAATGAAAAATCTTAGCTGTCTGCTCTCAACGGAACTGATGAACGTCAGTTCAGTCAAGGCCGGGGAAGGTGGCTGGGAAACCAGAAAGCTTTAAAGTTTAACTTAAAAAGGTTTAAGTTAGGCTCACCCGGATCATCAGTACGGCTTTCCTGATATCGCGGATTCCGTCGTACACCAGTCGCGAAGCATCGATAAATTCGTTCTCATCCATTGGCTGAGCAGGGTCTGAACTCAGTGCTTCCACAGCAGCTTCCACTTGCTCAGTAAACCGCGGCATAACTGAATTAAGACAACATAACAGTCAGTCCCCACTTTCGGCTACACGCTCCCGTGAGAGACGTGTGTGCTTCTCTGGTATCTATCCCCGAAACTCTGCAGTGTCTCCACTAAAATGCAAAACATTTGTTGTGGAAGGACACTGATGCCGTAGCTCAAGTCTTGTGTCCACTTCAGTTTCTGTTTACCCTGCTGCTATTTGGTTTTCTTCCCCCTTAGATACTGAAAGGTTTATCGCACCCTTCTAGTGGACAAGGATAAAATCCCTGAGGAAACAGTAAGAAATTATGGGACAAAATACTAAGCATTTTTTTAATATTCCCAATAGAGGTACATAATTTTTTGGGGGAAAAACCCCAGTATTGCCACTCGGAAGCTCAAGTTTAACACGGCACTGGAAGAAGGCAGGTTGCAGTGCTGTACTTCGGTGACTCACTGCACCCGAGGAAGAACATCACAGAGCCACTTACAGTCTGATCGCTCCTCCAGTGTCACCCTTGATCCTTCACAGTTGTAATTAAAGCAAAACCAACAACTAGTCGGCACAGCAGTCATGGAAGCAACCAGATCATTCCTTACCCTATGTGTATGTCACCAGCTAGTTCACAGGAAACACCCTAATCTGTTGTTTAGGGGTGAGGGACTACAACCCCCAATGTTTCCTTACCAGTTATAAAGATATTTTACAGAATCTACCCAAAATTTATTTTACTGGGCTGATGCAGCAGAAATCTTCCTGGATCCTGAACACTTGCGGAGCCCGGTACAGTACCGCGGGAAGACCAGCCCAACTTTCCAGCCCTGACTCACTCTCTGGGACTCATTCCCCACTGTTCTAGCAGCTCAGGCAGTGACGGCAGGCGTGCTCAGGAGATCTGGTACACTGCTGAATTTTAAGCCAGTCAAGACAGCAAAATTACATTTCTCATTTTGTAACAGCTCTGCAAATAACTCCTCCTCGTTTTCATTACAGAATGTAAATGGAGTCTTTAATAGGTTCCACAGGTCCCTCAGTATCCGGTCGCCCACGTGCAATAGGAATTCAGGGATCTTGGGAGTCACCAACTCTTACCTGTGTTGGACAGTAACTTCGTCGCCTCCAAGACCTTCTCAGTGTAGACTCCAGGTTCGTAGTTATCCATTTCAGAAGTGACAACGTGAATGACTCTGGCAGCACGTCCTCGAATCGCACCAGCTGTGCGGTCTAAACCGTCAACATCTTTTTCTTGGAGAGCAATGACACACTTGTTTACATCTTCCAAAATATGATTCTCTGGTGGTAAAAGGAGGAGGATTTAGATGGCAGTATCTTCTTTTCTGCTGCAGTCATCAGCATTTGAATTTCCCAGTTTGTGACCCGCTCTATAAAACCTCCACCGAGATGCTGTAAAGCATTAATTTTTAAGCTTGCTACGGCCAGCAGACAGCTGCCCTTCCAAACCAGGTGTCAAAACCCCATCACTCCATTCACCTACTGGCACCCACACTTCTTGCCCTGACTCGTACTCGATTTCAGCAACAGAAAACCTGAGTTCAGTTGAATTCTCCCCTAACGTGGCTTTTTCCGTATTCCTCCCTGGGACCGCCAAAGCCCTTATTCCAAATATTTTCAGGCCACTCCCACGTCCTTCCACATGTGCAGGGCGGTGAGGCACCCTCCCCAGCACCACACCTAAGCCATTCAACGCTAATAGGCTGGGGCACTTGCTGCACGTTTCTACCTTCCCACACGGTGTTTTCCTACAACCACACGCATACCATCAGAGAGTATTAAATGGTCAGTCCTCCATTCCCATTTAAGACACCTAACACGCACGGTGATTTATGCAGAAAGCGTTCCAGCGACAGAGTACTCATTGCCTCTTAGGAAAACAGAAAATAAACCCAAGACCTCTGTACGTATTTTACTCTTAGACTATATATTTTTTTTTTTATACAGAGATATCTTTGTCAATTATCAAGTCCAAGAGGCCCCAAATGAGTAAAAAACCCTTAAGAGATTTCTAGAGAGGCTGGGATCCTGGTTTGGGCAAAACTTACCCAAAAAGTCTTCCAAACCCTGTTAGAGACCTCTAATAGATGAGTACCAACGCTTTGACATTGCCATCCAACATCAGCATTTGGGCTGCTTGGTGAGAAACCAACTTGGAAACATTTCTGCTCTGTCACTTAAAATAGTTTCCAGCATTACTTACCACTGAGTTAATCATGCTATGCTGCCAACCCGTGCCACTGAAGTGGCTTTTATTCCCTAAGCAGGTAGTGAGAGAGCCAGAGTTCGCAGAGACGAGAAGCACGTAAGAGTTGGCTGATAGAGAATTTGTATAACCTGGCTGAAAGGATTGCTGCTGGAAGAGTTATGCTTAATTGACATAAAATTAGCAGAGCCAGGTGCAATACTGTGAGACTTCTGTAAGCAACCTGGACAAAAATACGCTTGTGAAATCCCTCTGAAGCAACTCAGCCTGAATGAGTTCAGCTGAGGGCAGAATGTGGCCCTGCGAGAGAGAAGCGCAGGTTCATTAGTGATTTGACAAGTCAGTGAGCAGGCAGCCAAGGTACAAAAGCTGCAGCAAGGAGCACACCGAGGCTTGGTATTTAAAGCAAAAGACAGACATCCCTGCAAGTTGCAACAGTAAAAAGAAAAAGCACCGGCGTCAGGCCAAAACACAGACGGTTTATTGCTTGAATTCCTTAACGAATAAATTAAGCCACAGACCATTTAAAAGCCTCTTTGGATTATATGAACTTTAATAAAAGGCATGGATGAAATGAGGATGAATTTAAATGCCTGCTGATCATTGAATGTCTTCTGCAGGGTTGCCAGAACGACGCTTTTGTGGAAAGACAACCCCAACAGCAGCCTGCAAGGGGCCGCGGGGAAGCACGGGACTGTCAGGGGCATCCACTCCGGTTACGCTCTCCAGCCGGACGGTAACACATCAGCTTTGACACTGCCCCGTGTGCTGCTGTGTACACACCCCGCTACCTGTCCTGCAGGCACATGGCCCACAAGTGCCTGGCGCACACTGCTACCCGCCGAGGCCCGAAACGCTGATGCACGGGTTCACGCCAGCGCACCTTCGGGGACGTGGTGCCGCCGTCCCGCATCAGAGCGAACAGCCCTCCTGCTGCCGAGCGGCAGGAGAACCTCACAGCGAGAGAGCGTCACGCAGAATGCAACACGGGGAACGGCAAGGGGATGTGCAGTACCAAAATAACTGGAGGGAAAAAATGGAGTGGTTTGGCAACAAGGTAAGAGGGTAAGAGGAAAGATGTTTTTCCAAGTGAAATGATTTTTAGAGCAAACAAGGAAATACACAGAACTGTAAAAAGCTAACAGAATTAAAAGTCCCCTCCGATTGTCAATCCTCAATCCACCCCCACCAAACACCTTCCACCTCCACCCACCTCCCCATTAAAGGGATGAGGGAATCATTCTCCAAACATCCCAAGAAGTCTGTGTGGGAGTCTGGGGGCCACAGGAGATCAAAACCTAAGATTGAGAGCTCGGAGATAAAGCCAGGGATGCATAAATGTAACCCTGCTTCTCTGCCGTGTCCCCTCGGAAGGGCTCAGGACGACTCCCATGGCGGGCCTTCTCTCGGCAGGGATGCTGCAGGAAGCGGGTGAAGCCGCAGTGCCGGTAGACGTGGTTATAGAGCAAAGACTGGAGTGCTCACACACTTGTAAACGCAGTATTCATCTTGTAATGAAGAAGGACAGTCCTCGGGCCCAGGCAATATTCATCGGGAGGCTCTTAAGACGAAACAGCTCTGCCACGATGGGCAGTCTCTTGCGTAAACCTCTGTCAGCAGCAGAGGAACAGAAGGCAGAGCACGGAATGATTTTTTTAGAGGGTTTCAAAGGAGATCCAGGTAATTTCAGAACATTGAATTTGACAATTACATGGTGCTATCAGCAACTGCTCTAAAGAACAGAGATAGTGGGCACACAAACACACCCAGAGTGCTCAGGGAAGGCAGTGGCAAGAGGGATAAGAATTACAGAAGGTACCAAAGTGCTTTGAAATGAGGAATAATGAAACAGGCAAAGACTGCAGTCAAGAAAGAGATGACTACGTGCAGAACAGAAGTCTGTACATTTACAAACAGCATGAAGAAAGGGAATAGGGGAAAAAACCTCTTTACCATCTTCTTCTACAACTAGGGGCATCAAATGAAGCAAATAGGTGACTGCAACAACGAGGAGGTTCTTCACCCAGAGCAGTTAAGCTGTGAATTTTGCACAGGATGATGGAGATGCCAGCGGTTTATAATGGTCAAAAGAGCAACTAACACATGCTTAAATGAGAAAAAAATGTGTCAAGGGCTGTTCAGTCAGTAGCCCCTCTGGTGCTGGAGCTCCCTGAGCTGCAAATTGCTCATGGTTGGGAGCATATATGAAAGATCTTCAGTCTACAGGAATCCTCTGTTATTAATCTCCTATGCCCCGTCAATTAGTCGCCACCAGACCCTTGCCCTAACTCAACTAGGCCTTTCTCATGCTGTGCCCTTTATAAAACGCTGTAACCTGCAAGGTTATCTGCAACACTGTGCATTTAAGGATCCTTACTCTTCTAAGATATTCTGCTGTTATCTAAACCCAACATCTCTTTCATCTTTCAAGCCTTTGTCTGTGCATAATTAATACAATTCTGCAGCACAAGCCGAACAGTGAAGCACACACTTCATGAGAGCAGCACAACGCATCGGAGGAACGCGCACGCATACACAGGCACCCGCCAGGACACCTTCTACTCCTGCTTTACATCCCGCCAGTAGCCGAGAAAACCCTACTGCGCACAAACATCCTAATGGCCCCAAACGGGACCTGACATAAATCATACCCGTCACGATTTTATCCAAAGAGGTGGTTAGACTTGTAACTGAAGATTTGGAATCGTGGCATTTGTATGGAAAACAATTATCAGAGTTCCAACAACGAATATTTAAAGCAGAATTCATTGCTTTAATGTTTTCCTACCATCTCTCTGATAACGCGGCACGTTTAAATAACTGCGGAACGCTCTCGGGCGTCTGAAGCAGTCTCGAACTACAGCATTTCCATGGCATCGTTCTGGCGGCAAGCACGCGCTCGAGGTGAACCAACTTGCTCCTCAGTCAGCCTGCCACCGCCTCGGAAAGGCAGCGTTCCCTGCTTACTGACGAGCCCTTGAAACTCTTCAGAGCTACTCAGCAGCAGGCCAGCACCATAACCTGCCCCTCAAAAGCTGAATTTCATCTCCTACAATGACCTATATAAACCACTCGGTTCCAACGGCTCGACCCACCGTGAGCCACCCCTGTAAGGAATCAGCGTAAGGCGGCTTCACCAGACTGCATGCCCACAGAGCAACAGCTCTTTTCCTTGGAAACGCTTTGATTGGGCGAACTCCAACCGGAGCCGTGAACTTCGGCACATCATTCTCTCTAAATACACTTCCCCAGAAATAGGCTCCTCGCAGCTGTGCAATTCCAAGCACTGCTGCGACGCCGAACACGCAGAGAGATGCAAAGGACCAGGACATTCAATCGCCTGCGAAGTTCATGCTAACTCAGTGCAAAGAGCAGTTTTATTCGGAACCCAGGGAACCACGATACGACGTGTATGATAATACAGGCGACTCATCACAGAAACATCACTTGAAGTTTAGGGGGACTTTTTTCCTCAATATATTAAAAAAATTGGTCTTTTAATTCAGGCCTGCAAGTTTTTGTCTACGTTTCTTAAATATGTTCAGCTGGTACTTCAGACTCCACACATCTTCCTGTGAAATCACTCGTTACAACCGGGGGTTTCAGGTCGCTTGGGAGGGCCAAGCCTGTTCGCACCAGGAACACTCAGACCCTCAGTTTGTAGTGGTGAATGGCAAACACTACTGCAGACACAATTCGTGGTTATATCACAGCGTCCTCTGACTAGAGCAGGATGAGAGGATGTGAAAATGAAAATGCCCCCATTATTTCTAGGTTACAGCAGCTAACAGTAGGTCTGTATCAATGATGCTGATAAAACAACCTATCTTGGCAAGCTCTTTGTTAAACTGAGTTATCTGCTATAATTACTGAATATTTTGATAAAATTTTAAATCTTTACTAAAGCTGACACGGTGAACGTTTTCCATAGGAACAGTTCTGTTTTAACTGACGTGTACAACCACAGTTTGATACACGTTGTTTACATAAGAGTCGTCTATGGTGAACTGCAGGATTTTCTTTTCCTGGTTCATAACATGACACAAACACCCCCTGTGTCCCCCCAGTGTTACCGGTGAGCTTTGTCTGCAGGAGCTAGGTGGTAATTCATCAGTACAGTTCAGCTAGCAGTTCAAAATCTTGAGTCTCTTGCTCTGTTTAAGCTGATCTGTCTACTGAGATGTAAATATATACATTTATGCACGCGGGCGCTGTAATCGCAATGACAGGTTCCTGGAGTACCTGCTTAACTAAACTATTGCTGTTTTCACGCTATAAAAATACCTCTTCTCCTCGTGCCAAGATCTCCTGCGCTATTTTCACACCTCGTGCGGGAGAAGATGACACTTGCCAGGTGAAGCGTACCAACCCCATCCCTTCCCAAAACCCGAGAAGGCGCTAGAACACGTGCAGAAACCACCCATTTCCAGGCATAAGCTCAGCTATGAGAATGAGTCTTTCTGAGTTCGAGCCCTGGTTACCTGACACAGCCAGGAAGTCATCAATGGAAGTGATGTCATCGACAGCATCCGTCAGCACGCGGACTTGCTTCTCCCACTGCTCTTTGAAGAGATCCATGTTTTCCTGAGCCAGCTTGCTTTGAGGTTTCGCAGCCAGAGCCAGCGCAGCATTAATGACCTGTAAAACACCTCTGGATCTTTAAACCATACCCTTAACAACACAATTATTTTCCATATGCTTATACAGTGAACTCAACAGCAAACCAAGCAAGTTTAATAAGTTTTCAGGAACTTGATCTTTAAACACAGAAGTGTTTATTCTGCTGCTCTCACACCCAACTCATACCTGCCTCCACATTTATTAAGGTTAGTTATGACAAGAAAAACACATGACAGGTATTCACAAGAGCTAGCTTCACCTTTCCTTAACAGCTCATGTTAAAAAGGTGTTGCTTTCTGAGTACAGGTTGTGTTAAATATTTTAGACAGGAAGACATGTAGTACACTGGAGGCTGCATTTTCTAAGCTACTTGCCAGAACCCGAGAAAAAAGGTCAAAAAAGGATCAATCTTACACACTCTAGAGTAGAAACAATATGCAAACACAAAATTAAAGAAAATTTTATATTTATTTTATTTTCCTTAAAGCTTTACTCTGTACCTTGCCAGTATTTGTTATAGTACCTTAAGATTTCTGTTATGGCTGTGGCAGAGCCAGATTAGCCAGAGAACAGGAGAGGATATACTATTTGATACTCCTGAACACCCCCTTACTACTAATTTCTTCAAACCCTAAGACTGCAATTGACTCCAGATCCCTTTTTTTCTAAGCAGAACAAATGCTACACATACTGCTGGGTAGCAGGGTTTATGCCGTGCCAACTAACTGGTCAGTTAAATGACCAAAAAAGCCTCTTTGGGTGTGGGAAGAAAGCAACCTCAAAAGCCTGCTCCTATTGTAGCTGCATTGTGTTGCAGCAGAATGACCTGGAAACACGCCAGGCGTGAGAAGTCATCCGCAGTCAGACCAACATGACAATCCTAACCTTGTTTTCAAGCACCTGAGAGTTACAGCTGATGAACTTGTAAGTTCAACGTGTACTTTTAATTCTCTACGTTAGGACCGAATTAATTGCACGAAGTCACCGAACAAAACATGCAAGCTCCAGATGTTCCTGGGTTTCCAAAACCTACTTTCTCAACCCGCTTCATTTCGAAGTGTCACAAAGCATTTAAAAAAATATATAACTCACTCAGCACTGGACTATGATGTCAAACATATCGCAAGGGCAATGAATCAGGCAGGAGGAGGCTGATAGACCCGAGGGATGCTAGAAACCAGCACTGACCGAGGGAAATCCCCAGGAAAGCTATACTGCTCTGCATGCCACCCCCCTGCCTCTGGAGAGAGAGGCTGAAGTCTGGGGCACCAGCCAAACCGAGCTCGATGGGTTTGGTAACAGACAAACTGTGTGAGAAACTCGGCACGAGCAGCAATCCGTTCAGGAGACCTGCAGCAACGAAACACATCCTTGAGTCCTGGCAATAACGACAGTGACCCCATTCTTTGTGGAAAACATGGGGATCCTCTGCTGCTTTCCCTTCCTCAAAGAAGCCCTTGAGGTGACCCCTCTGTGTGGGCAGCGGAGGAAGCAGGGTGTCCTTTCCGCCATGGGGCACGCTGCTCTGCCACCCTCACTCACGCTGCCCGGTAAGATCATGGCTCTCAAGTCCTGAAAGCCCCCAAAAAAGCCTTGCAACACCCAAGAAAATGATATTTTACATTTTTAAATCAGGCAGTAATTGAGTTTTTAGAAAAGGAAGCCTGTCCTCTGCTCAAGAGCCCTGTTTAAGTCTAGCCACTGCCATTTCTCACCCCAGTCTGACTGATGCAATGAATTATTAATCAAAATCTAGATATCCAAAGTTTTGTGAAGAGGAATCCAATAACAAGTGTCTTGCAAACAAAGAGGGTAAAACAGCAACGCTCCAGAAATCTGCTCTCAGCTTTTCTCCTGCTAGTAACTGTACGTACTGAGACAGAGAAGACGGAGATACCAAGGGTCAGGACATTTTCCCCCACTCTCTTCTAGCTGCCTTGGCTCATATCAGATAGGTAAACACCCTTGAAGCACCGGGACAAGTCAGCACTAATGCCAAAGGAACATATGGCCTGTGTACCTGCGAGATGCATGTCTGGACAGCAGCAGCTGTCTGAACAATTAATCTTTGTCAACAGCACATGTCCAACCCCAGATGCCCATGCTAAGCAGCTCTTCACACGTAACAGAAGAGCTGTCATAGATAGAGGGCTCTGCAAGTGCTCCAGAAACTCAGAGCAGGGTCTCATCACCAAATCTAAATGCAGGAGGCACAAGCTGCCCCATCGTCCTCCCAACAGGCAGCTTGTCCAACCAAAACAAAGAAGTGTTCTTTGTACGGTACAACAGCACGGCCAAGGGAACTGTATTGAAAAAGATGGCCAGACCAAGCTCGCAGGGAAGATCTCCCAGATGCATCTTGCACGTGGAAAGCAGCTGGCATTGCTACAGAAGAGGACAACCTGGTGGGGAAATGAAAGACTATCAAGTGTCACCGTGGAGCTAAAACCAAAACTACAGCTTAGAAACCCACCCAGGCACTCGTGTGCTCAGTAAGAAATTCCAGACAGCACATACAGCTCAACAGTCCTGCTCCATAGCACATTCTCCACCTCCAGGTTAACACGTTTCCAACATCAGCTTGAGCAGGGGTGATCAGGCTCTTCACTCTGCCGAGTACGTACGGCCGAGCAATTTCATGGGCAAATTATCCCAGACATGTCTCCCACAGCCGCCTGGGGTAGTGTCCCAGGATCACTGACAAGGCCCTGCAAAGGACCTATGCTCCCACATGATGCCCAGCACCCAGTGCAGAGTCACTGGTTTGTTTTCCAGCAGCTGCTTAGACAGTCGTGGGAAAAGGACAGGGAGACTGGATCTTAAACAGCCTAAGGTGTAGCAGGGCCATGATTCCTTTATTATCTAAAAAGGAACACTTGGGGGAGGGGGAAGGACTGATTAAAGTATACTCTTCCTTCTCCAAAAAAAACATGAAGCACTGGGGAATTATTTTAAAATATGAGTAACTCTTGCAGGAAGGAAATATATGTAGTTCAAAAAACAGTAAGAACAAGGCCAGACTACCTGAAATGTAGCCACTTCCATGTAAAACATTTGGCAATTTCAGGGAAATATTCCGTGTTTTAGAGCTTTACAAAACGCTGCCAGAGCACTGTGATCACAATGACTCACTGGAGTCGTACAAAGAAAAGAATCAAACAGGGACATTTTGAGACGATCCAGAAGGAAATGAAGCATGGCAGGAAAACACACTATTTTTATCGGTGCTTTGTTTCATGTAGCAATTGCAATGTTCAAGTCAGACAGCCCAACGCTCGATAACATAGTTCCAAGCGAGTTACTTGGAGTCGCTCTCCACCTCGCAGCTTCCCGCAGCAGCCAGAACTTGGCAACAGACGCCCGAGGTCGGGGAGGCCTGGGATTCAAGACTTGCAATTGATATCTCAACCTCTACCTCAAATGCTCTTCTCTCTTCCACGGGAAGAACCTGCTTTGTTTTTTTCTTTTTTTTTTCCCTCCAGTTTTCCCTGTTGAAACTAAAGATGACTGAATTATATAACCTTTGCAGGGCAGGAGGTTCCCTGAGGTTCCCCGGAGTCACTTCTGCCTGGGTTACAAGACTGCAACGACTTTGCCCAGGCGCTCTCTTAAAAAGCACAGCCATCGCAGGACAGAAGACCTCGGAACCTTAGATACAGATGTGGGTAAGTTAAAGCCACTGGGTCACGCAGAATTAATCTTCTTAGGCTCAATTTAGGATGGCTTCTAGCCATACCCTTCTAGCACCGCATCTGAAAGACTGACAGACCTCATTGCAGCCTTCCAGTGCCTGAAGGGGCTACAAGGGTGCTGGGAGAGGACTTTTTACAAGGGCAGGGAGTGACAGGACAAGGGGTAACGGGTTTAAATGGAAAGTGGGGAGGTTTAGATTAGATATCAGGGAGAAGTTCTTCCCGCAGAGGGTGGAGAGGCACTGGCACAGGTTGCCAGAGAAGCTGTGGATGCCCCATCCCTGGAAGTGTCCAAGGCCAGGCTGGATGAGGCTTGGAGCAACCTGGTCTAGTGGAAGGTGTCCCTGCCCATGGCAGGGGGTTGGAACTGGATGGGCTTTAAGGTCCCTTCCAACCCAAACCATTCTATGATTCTACGATTCTATGACAGAGGGTAGAAGAAAGCTCCTATACGCGGTGGTGGTCCGACAAAGAACAGCTTTGAACACGTGGCTGGCATGGCCGAAGGAAGAAACATCACTCGGGAGAAGAAAACTACCACCTGTTTATTTTGGATTGCAATCCCTACCTGTTGTACCTGAATAGTCTCAGCACACACAACATCTGTAAGCCATGGAACTATTTCAGTGGCCACAAGCACTTTCATCTCCTGCCTCAGTCCTTCCGCTAGCCACGTTTTGCTCTTTACAGGAGACTCTCCTTTCTGCAGCTGGTTTAGGTTTGCCCTGCTTCCTCTAGCATTGGGTTTGGGATGCTACTGTCCCACAGCAAGGAAGGAGTTTTTCAGTTTCACAAGCTCTGGAACACCCAGTCCTCTCTCCTGACTACGCACCTTTTCTTTACAACCAAAATATCTGCTGTTCCTAAGTAACTCACTTGAGGTCTGGTTTTAAATAAAGATCTTCATTTACCAGCTTTCTTGTGGCATTTGGGTAAAGAGTTGGAAAGCACCTCCAAGGCCTTCAAATCCAAAAGGGGTTTTGAACGTGTATTTCATATTTGTAAAAAAACCCACCCAACTAATAAAACAAGCACCCACCCACCCCTACCACAGCAGGGGCAGAGGAAAAAGGGACATGCTGAATGTGACCATCCGTTTTATTCTGGAGTGGGTGAGAGGGAGCTTGCCAAGCAGACAGCAGGAGCAGGTTTGCTTTGGGAAGAAGATCCAAGAGCAAGCAAGGGTAGAAGGAGCAATCTCAGCTTTGCCTTTTGGAGCAACCTCAGTGCAAGGCTGAGTGGAAGACATCTCTTAACCTGCCACAACGGTAATTGCACCACGCTGTGGCCCTTATTTGCTCTGTGTTATTGCTGCCTCACAGGGCA